TTTTCTTCCATCTTTGATGGTACGAGCAAGGTAATAACTGAGACATACTATATTTACAATTATGCGGAATGATAACATATTTTGAATTTTCTCAATTAGTGGAGGGCAGTAAGGTCAAGGAATAATCTTTAAGACCTGGATACAGCTTTTGCAGCCCCAGGTCGTGCAGCAGGAAGGCCAGTGCGAAGACATGTAAGCCGAAGGTAGCAAAAGCCGTATCCAGTCCATAAAGGTTTTATTATATACGTTATAGGTCTAATTTTCCATGGCGAGACCTCAATCACACGACGTAATTTTAAAGGACGTATTTTGTTTTGATTGACAAAAGCTGGTCACACTGGGCCAGGCTTGGTACAAGAAATTGTTGGCCTGATATGAGGGCGCACTTCTCATAGCATTACAAGGCCGGGCAATACAACGTATGTGATAAATGCTAATTTACATAACCAATCTGTTAATATGATTCATTACATATTGTGTGTTCTAATGACAATGGAAACAGTAGATTGCGTTTTGTAAAAATGTGTTTGGGGTATTCCAAAACAGTACGTGTATACACTCAATTTATGAGATAGGATGTGAAAAATGTACACAATCTGTATGTAGATTAGGAAATGTACAAAAAGTAAATTTTTATTAAAAAAAAATGCTATATGAATTTGATCTTATCCTTGAGTGAATGATATATCTGCTTTTAAAATTAAACAAAAAGAAAATTATAAATAAACAAATCACAAAAATGTATTCAATCTTTGAGTAAAAAAAAAATTGTCAAGATGATAAATAGCGGACATAGTAATTGTGATCTAAATGCCCATTAATCAAAAAGCATGAATAATGCATGCAATAGGATGGCCTTTGTAACACGACCTGTTTTAGTAAAGATGAATAAAATTATACATGTAATACATATATACTGAGTCATACTCTGCTGCATATCAATAGGGGTCTGGTTACCAGGCATACAAAGCATCCTTAGAGACAGGAAATAGAATACTGTTACCATAGTTACTGACAATGTTGAGAGGTTCTGGATGAAAACTAGCAAACTTGGTGTAAACCCAAGATATTTGGATTTGATATCATATTGACATGATGTAAATTTATAAAAAAAAAAAATCACTTAATTTCCTGTCAAGAACAAGATGGATATTTCCACCTCAGAAAAATCCAGTGATTTCCCACAGAATAAAAGAACAAACTGAGCACAACAAATCAAATATGTTTTCTGGTTGATTTTCTATATACAATTCCTGATTCCCGAATTACCATCAGAAGCAATGTAGTTCTATTTGTACATGCGTAACCAACCTAGCAACGGGCGAGGGTAGGACAAAAATGTAGAAAGGCTGGTACGAGTTAGTTGAATAACGATGGCAGTTTTATTTCAGGAGAATTTTTTTTTACGCTGCGAGTTGGAAACATTGAAGTTCGGTGCATTGCGACTCTGCACATTTGGAACGTTCAAAATCTGTCCTACCTTCCGATTTATTGACCCCAGGTCACGCAATATGTGCAAGCGAACAAACTATGAATGTGCAAATGCTATCAATTTAGGAACCCCCAATTAAAGTTGAATACCACTTTGTACAATCTACAGAAAAACTTGCTGACCACTGTAAGCACCACAAGGGCTTGGATTTTGTACAGTACTTCTAAATAGAGTAAAGAAACCACGAGTGACTACAAAAGTGGAATTTCTCAGTCTTTATAAGATGTTCCACTTATGTTCGTTTCTGTCTGAGGCTTCAATGGTGTAACCTAATTTAAAAACTATTACATCAATATTAAGAAAAATACACAATTAAGTAATTATGTAAGTGCAAAAGCCAAAGATACTGCCCTCTAGTGGTGAAGACACTGCCCTCTAGTGGTGAAATACTGCCCTCAAGCATTAAACTCACCTTTACAGGGTTTCCGACCGATGCACTTTGCAGACCTATTCCCAACTGACCATATCTGTTATCTCCAAATGCAAAGACTGTGCCATATTCTATGAATGAAAATTAAATTCAAACTAACGCACATATAACTTGAAAAAGAGTATTTACTCTATTTGAAGCTATCTCCCATAAATGAAATTTCTTGTCTATGTGTTCATTTATTGTATACTGGGTGATTAAAATTCACTTTATTTGTACCATAGATTCACTTTTATCGTTTACATAATTATAATACAGTTAAACTTGCGTATAGCAACTACCAAAGAGACTACATTAAAATGGTTTTATAAGACAGGTGGTTTTTATAAGAGGTTAGATTACTTTTTAATGGTTTGCCAACTTGGTATAAAATTTGTTAGAAACATAATAAGGCAGTACTGTTGCAAAAAATCAAACAAGTTTACCATGAGCAAATCAAATTGGAATTGCCTAAAACTGGTCACCATAGACAGGTGGTCTTTATACACAGGTTGCTCTTACTACCGAAAGTGGTCACTATAGGCAGGTGGTCTTTATACACAGGCTGCTCAGATTCAAATCATTCTATTGGTTAAATAAAGGTGCCCCTCAAAATACAAGCTGACTTACCTGTAAGACAGAGTGTATGGTTTCTACCACAGGCAGCTGATACTATGTTATGTTCTTTAAGACTTTCTATTAGGGTTGGATTATCTCGCCGAACGTTATCGCCATGGCCGAGTTGCTCCCTGTCATTACGACCTACAAAATAAATTAACAATTTTGTAACTTATAATCAAAATATTGGTTATCAAAATAACATTTATTCTGCTTAAACATAGTGGACACAACTTTTCACATAATTTGTACTTACCCCAACTCATGGCTTTGCCATCTTCTGTTATTATGATACTATGGCAAGCTGTAGGACCAGAGATGACCGATCTTATTCGTATTTTGCCAATACTCGTAATGTGATGTGGTCCCCAGAGATTTCTACCACCTTGCGGCTTCACACCAGCTGCAAAAAAAAAAAAAAAAAAGATTTTACACCTACACAAAATGTCAAACCAAAAGAACGAAGTGGTTTTACTGTTGTACCCTTAGATCGCTATTTATTTCAGCCCTTTGTAAATGATGACTAATTTGCATAATGTTTTAGTGGCCACGAGAAACCGGTTATTGGTAAGCAAGAATTTTACCATACGAGAGGGAGCTTGGTACAAAGTACGCCAAATAAAGATGTGACATCCAAGTGAAGCCAAAGATGGACATTAAAAAAAACTAGGTACCTTAGTATTTCGAAAATATATATATATTTGCAAGTTTGACGCTATCAGAAATTTTAAATTACACTGTTGATTTTTTTTTATTCATGAACCATCTGGTGGGATTGTACTGATACAGGGTCAAGCAGCTGAATCAACACATGAATTCATATATTTGAGTAACTCTGGCATCCATATACGGTAGCAATGAATTTTGAGCAACATGGTGCTGAAGACATTCAAGCTGTCAGATTGATGTTTTTTCCAGGAAAAGTTAATATACATTAGTTTAATTTAAGCACTTTTTTTTTCTATATGCCTGTTTATTATGCGAGTAAAAATCATCACTGGTACTATGTGATGAGATTCCGGTAGGGATACCCGGAAATGCAAGTTGGTTTTACAAATTTGTTTTCATTTTTAAATGACCTGTCTGGGAATGCTATGTAAACAGTGGGGGGGGGGGGGGGATTCCAAAACATTGGTTCTGGCTATCTCTGTTAATATGATATAATATCCAAAACATAGCCCAGGACGATATTTCAGATAAATCTGGTAATATTTCTTTGAATAATAAGCTTCTATTGTAGTTTTTGTACCAATAGTTGTGATCAGTTTATTTCTGTTTTGTTTTGATGCAGGGAACACTATCGCAACAACCATGGTCACTAATGAGCCTGTTTGGTATTCATGTATTCAAATAAAGTCTATTGACAGCTGTCAGATGTAAAGCCCTTGTTTTCCTGACTTGTTTTCAAAGTCCACTTTAATACTGTGTGGCTCACACTTTGATATTTTTTGTTTTCAGTACTGATCTGTGTCAATGTGTACAATAAATCACAGTTTTAAGAAAACATGCAAGAATATGAGAATTTCATGAATGTTTTTTAGGAAATTTTATAAAAAAAATTATAAATAAATTCATATTTATAAATAATATTTATAAAACAACCCAGAAAACCTTCACATCTCATTCAAATCAAAAGATGGTGCTTTAATTGGCAAAAGAAGCCTTTATTACCCACAATTCTTTGCAGGTTTCACTCTACCATTGCTGATATCCTGCCATTCATTCACATTTAGGTCAAGTTGTTTTTAACAGTCATTTGGAATTTATAAAACAGTCTGAATCTTTTATATCAAAAAACATTCACGACTCTTACGAAATTCAATGCACGTCTGCATTTACACGAGTCGTAATAATTTATAAATTGTACTAAATTAAACATGTACATCTTTTAAAAATATAGATTAGCGATTCAAAACTTATCTTTCACAAAAAATTCCTTATCATTCAGAAACCCTTAGTCACAAATTTTGTTTTTTTCAGTTAAAACGAATAATTTATTGTACTATACAATTAAAATGAATGAATTCATAAAATTGAGTACAGCAATATACTTTAACACAAAACTGTCAACATTTTTGTGCGACAAAAAAGAAAACTATAACAACCACACTGCACCATGCAATATAATCACTGGCGAGATTGACAAAAAAATTGTTCAATACTTCGGGAAAATTGAAGAAAAAGTTTAGATAGTTCTGGTGAATTACACGCAAAAAAAAGGGTTTAGGGTTGAACATCACTATTTATTCTTTATAGTATTAAAATAAACCTGTCTATTTAAATGGATATTACTGATATTACTGATACTGTGAGATGAGAAAAAACATAAATCATCACTCAATACCTAATACATGCACTGGCATTTTCATTGATGGACTTAAATATTGCCATGGTAACGTACACAATTAGACGTTGAAGTATCTTAAAGATTTGTAAAAGATGAGGCATGTCAAAGGCCAAAGACGATGAGTGTGTACAACATAAACGACGTTTGGATTAAATGTCTGATAATTATAGCGTACGTTTTCTATGTTATACACACAATTACTAAGGGGACGTCGATCAATATAACTAACACAAGAAACACAAGTCAATCTGATCTGGAAGAGGGAAAAAGAATATTCATTTTGAAATTCACATCAAAATCACAACAATTATATATGTTAAAAATATAATAGATGCACAAACATTTTTTTTTTTTTGCACCAGTTATGGACAATTTGCGTTTCCAGTACATCACATTAAATAATCGATGGCCCCTAACCAATCAAATGAAAACCTGTGATGTATACGTCTAGTAATTACATTCTTTCTCGATCAGACAATTAGGAAAACATAAAAGAGGTATCTCCCTCAGAAAGTCCCTTTCTGATTTTAGAATGCACAGAGCTTTGACTCAATGTGATTATTTCCATCATAAATAAATTTTCGTTATAGAATTTTTATTTTGATAAAATAAAAATGATGAAATCAACAAAAAACGGAATATTTTTAGGCAATTTCAACGATAGTCCAATTTCTATACGATCATGCACACCTGAAACTAAACATAAACAGCAACCATCAAAATTTCTAAAAAATTGCAAAAATAATTACTGAAAACAAAGAATTAACAAGTCATTGAAAATGACACAGTCCCAGTTAAATTTTTGAAAGTTCTCTTTGTGCTAGTCATATTAAAGTTAGGGGTTGTCGCGAGCGTGTCCTTGAAACTTGAGTTCCAAGTGGCGTATACAACAGATTGTTTATTTACATCAAAACATGTAGTAGTAATATGGCCAAAAATAAAAACAGCCATTATTCGGCCATCTTTGATCTGATTATGAAACACACTGATATGTATGATGTATGTGCCAAATACGAATGAAAATGGTACATAAATTGTGGAAATATAGTAGTAAGACCAAAAAGTCAGATGGCTGTTAATCGGCCATCCTTGACCAGATTTTGAAACAAATTGTCATGGACATGCATCCTAACATGTATAAAGTACATGTATGTGCTAAATTTGAATGAAAACTGACAAAGCATGTCCAAGATACGGCATAAAAAAAACAAGATGTCTGCCAGTCGACCATCTTTGATCCAATTGCGAAATAAATCGTCATGGACATGTATCCTAACATGTATAATCTATGTACCAAGTTTGAATGAAAACTGACAAAGCATGTCGAAAATACAACATTTTCAAAAAACAAGATGGCTGCCAGTCGGCCATTTTGAATCGAATCGCTAAACCACTGCATGTGCATATGTCCCACATAAGGTACTAGGCACATGCAAAGAATGAACAGAACATTCTGAGATATGACTCCGGACGGACGCACTGACGGAGACCGAATGGGGACTAATAATATCATCACAAAAGGAACAAATCTGAACTAGGTTATGTCATGTATCAAAGCAATCTGACTTTTTTTCTAGAATTAGTCAAAAGTGCAATTGTTGACAGATAACCATCAAATATATGAATAGCTGTCATTTGCAATGAAAGTGGAGCTAAAAAACTAAAACTAAAAAGTTGATTTCAACATTGGTATAAAGCCCATATGTTTAAATGAACTACTAACAGTATGTCCATTTCACCTTGCTTCAGAAATGATGCTATCCCTCATTAATTTATAAGCATTTGAGGAGATTACATAAAATGCTCTATTATATAGGGCAGGTGTGTATGATGATCTATATCGACTACATAATGAACCAGGGCTTTTCTAAACTGGGGAACAGGGGCGCAGCGATCTGATACCCTTGGCTGGCGCCCTCTTACTGAATTGAGCTTTCAAGTCATAAATATATTTCTTGAGCCACGCCAGCTGACAATGTGTCTGGACACCAAATACACTAAAAACACCAAAAACATTTCAATGGCCATAGATACACACTGTATATATGGCGATATGGCGTTTCCAGCTTGATCGCCAGTGTGTGCTCCGTCTTGTTTATTTTTTGTAGAAAAACCCCTGAATGAACCTAGGACGAAGGAGGTCAACGGCAACAGCTGACGAGAGATCCAGTAAACCTGCATATTTCACTGTCACAAGATCGAAAACGTGTCCATTTCCATGCATTGCTATGAAAGTCACATGACCTTATCTACGGCAGTATTCATCTTTGATGGAGCATTATAGAATATTGCTACGTTTATATGTTATATCGATACAACAATCTCCCTTTGTTGATGCAGATTAATCTCCCTTGCTAGTACATACTTTAGGTATATATCAATATAACCAGCGGTATGAGTCAGCCGATTTCGGTAATAGTCAACGATTTAATCCACTGAAAATCATTATTCTAACCAAACATTTAATTAATCATGTCGGTTTTACTACGCTGAGCACCTGAAAAGCTATGCAATAAAAGATATTGATATGGTAATTTCTTTACATCGCCATACAACTTTATGAATGAGGGGGATTTGATTTCAGTGAAAAATTTATTTAATCGGTCCCTGTCAGAATGCATCATGAGATTAGCGATACATTTGCCGCAAGAATCATTACAGATATGACAATTAGCTTTTCAATTTTCGTCTCAACACATGAAAAAGGTTGGCTATTTCACACATTTACACAGGGTTCAATTTAAACAACTTAATGGTGTTTGTAGAATTTCTTTTCACATCGGGTACAGTGATGATGCGTGGAGTTTACAAGATTTGACAGGATTCAGTTTGTCTGTATACAATAGTTTTATAAAGATATGGAAATTTGTCATTGTGATAATTTTTTTTTTATTTTAAATGCCAAGCAGGTGAAGATTTTAATGGAACTTGGAAGACAAATGACAATTGCGAAGTGCACACATCGCATAAAATAGAGATTAACTTACAACCCGAGACACAGATCTTTGGATAAATCCCTGCCACTCAGAACTCTGAAGAGATTAGAGAGCTAAACA